AACTTTTCTTTCTTCACTCACTTGGTGGCAAGTGAAGATTTGTTCCACTTTCATCTCCCAGTCTAGGTACCCCTCCACATCATCTTTTCCATGAAAATAAGGGAGATCTACCCTAGATTCCCTTGTCTTGGAGGTCCTATGGGTTCTCCTATGAGGGGGTTGATAATGATCTCCTAAAGCTAGGCTATCATGCATTGATTCTCCTAGGGTGGAACTATGGGCGTATGAACTATGTTGACCATGATGTTTCGATTTGTCTTTTTCCTTTAATAGACGAATTTCCTCTTCCATAAGAGCAATTTGAGCTTCTCTTTCAAATTTTTCTCTAAGTCTTTGTTGTGATTCTTTCTCTTTCCATAACTTTAGTGATCTTAATTCACGTGATAATGTAGCAAAATCTTTGTTATCACTTGAATTAGTATCACTATGAGGAGTAGAAAATTCTTCCATTATAGGTGAAAGATTATTTTTGAAGAAAGATGTTTGAAAATCAATTTTTATGCAAGGTTAAGACTAAGTACTTGGAGGATTATTTATACAAATTGAACTTTGGAGGGAGGTGAGCTACTAGGAGCTACTTAAAAACCAAGTCTCTTCAAGTAAAAATTACTAATCCCCTTTGTAGTTAATCTCTACCAAATTCTTTTCAATGAAAAAATTATTTTTTTTTTTATATTTTATGAACTATGATATACTAGTCGTAGGAAAGCAATTAAAGACAACAATTAAGCAAGAAAATAAACTACCTAAACGTGTCCTAGGGTGAAAGCTTGAGAGATACCAAAGATCAATCAAGGACCACTCCCACCAAGTACTAACGAAAATCCTAAAACTAAGGAGAGATGGTTGTGTACCAAAGTCACTCCCAAGACACTCCTTTAAATGGCCAAATACAAAGGTATGAACAAATCTAACAAAGAAACAAGTGGCTTAAAGAATTGATGAAAATAGCCACTAAGAATTAGTGATGAGTTAGAGACCGAATTTGCAACAAAAATTTCAAACTAGTAATGAAAAATTGGTCTCTAAAATCCGTCACTAATGCTTATATTTTTTTTTTTAAATTTCAAGTACAATTTCAATGGAAACTCCAAGGATTCTCCACGGAAATTCAAGTCCAGCAACTACAAAATTCCAGCCACAAGTGTTTGGTGTTTGTTCTTTGTTGTAATAGCCAAATCCGAGAGTCTCCTTTGTCCTTTACTCCTCCTTGTCTTAGTCCTCTTTTGATGACCCTTGTAGAACTAGCTTCTTAGGAAATAGGCTAGGTCAAGCATAGGTCACATTTGAGTTCCATAATGAATACAAACAGCAAAGGTATTTGAAAGTTAAAGAAAAAACAAGATTAGAGTAGGAGGAGACAATATGGATGACAATAGACAAGATTAGGCTAGGTCAAGGAAGAACAACCCTAAGAAAAGGTTCTAGAATTGATTCACAAAACCAAAACACTCAAGAAGAATGTGAGCTGAAAATATTATGTAACTATGATCAATCAAACCGAGAAGAAGAACTTGTAAACCAAACTCCTTTTATGGCTTTTTCTTTTAGAAATTAGGTTTAGCACTTTTTTTTTTTAATCAAATTTCTTTTGCATTTTTCTTTTGAATTTTGTTCTATATATATATATATATATATATTTTAATCTTAGGAGCTGCCTTTTTCTTTTACACCAAAATGTAACACACAACTCTCGGTCTCACTAAAAAAAATGAAGCACCAAAACCGGATTCAAATTTGAGATTCAAATATCAACCAAATTAGTTTTAAATGTAATGAACATGCAACATGCTTTTGATGCTTATTTGGTTGCTTAACACATGCACGGTTTTGGCTCCAAATTTAAATTTCAAATTGCAACTTAAACACAAATTTTCAGCACACACAAATTATACAAGATCAAACCTCACGGATATCAAAAAAAAAATTTTAAGACATTTTCAAGATTTAGGAAACCTAAAAATTTTCTAAGAAAACTACTAATGATCTAGTAGTAGTTTATGAACTCAAAGTGAAACAAAAATTTATGAGCATATACCAAAAGCTATGGATCTCGGCCAAATCCAAAAAATGTTGTCAAGATGCAATTCAAAATTCAAAACGGATCACATAAGCATAGCTTGGAAAGTTGAACATAACATGAACTACACATGACTACTAAACATGGATTCAAAATAAAAATGGACTCAATCATGCAATGACCGAATAAGATTTCAATTAAGACTTAATTATAGCAAAAAGATTATAGGCAGAAATTCCTAATAAGCAAAAGAGTTGGAGCATGATTCATGGAAGCATATAGTCATAGGCGCATAAATGAATCATTCAAGCAACATGAAACTAGATCCATCATATTTTTAAGGCAAAATTAGATCTAGGAAGGAATAAACTCAAAAGTGACATAAACTCAAAATGAACAAGATGAACACAAGATGAACACAAGACAAGATGAACCACGGATCAAAATTCAAAAGACAAGATGATGAACTTATCTCTTGAAGACCGAAGCTCTTGATACCACTTGATGAGGTTCCACTTAGTGAATCCTCATGAACACCTTCAAATTCTTCTTGGATCCTTGGAAAAATGTCAAGGACGGATGCTCCAAGAAGAACCAATGAGACCTAAGCTTGAACAAGCTAAATCCGGAAGAAGATGATCAACCTAGCTCTACAAAGAGAGGAGCTCAAGTAGGTAGAGAAAGGTATGAGAGAGACTTTCGGAGGGAGAGGTTTCAAGCAATGAAAACTCATTCAATTAATCCAAAAGTGCATACAAGGCTCGTCCATAAGGAATATATAGGGTAAAATTAGGTTAAATGGTTCCTTGGGTTAGCCTAGGGTTAAGTAAAACCATGGTATGGTTACTTAACCTTAGGCGCCTAAAATTTGAATTCAAAATTCAAATTTTAGGAGCCAAACCCGGAACCTCCATGTGCTCCATCATTTGGCATGTAATTTGGCTTCTCATTTGAGTTGCATTTAAGTCACACCATGTGCATGTGTGCACATGGCCGAAATGCCTCTCAAATGCCAAGTTAATTACATGCTAATGATAATGCACATGCAACCTTAATTAACCCTAAATTCTAATGACCTCTAAATGTAATTCCTAAGCTACAAGGCC